CGGATAATGCGTCTTTAGTATTAAAGCGGCGAGGACGCATTATCCTTCTGGACGGATAATGCGTCCTCTGGTATAAAAACGGCCAATTTGGTTTTTCTTTTTTTCAGATACTGACGAGTGCTCTGCATCAAATGGTGGCTGCAGTCACAAGTGTGTTAATACTGTGGGAGGCTACAGATGTGAATGTCCAGAGCCGGGACTTAGCTTAGCATTGGACAACAAGACATGTCATGGTAAGTATCAATTAATTTCAACTACAGTAACACTTCAACGCATGTTACTGTTTTGACACGGCAGAGAATGGCCGTTTTTATACTAAAGACGCTTTATCCGTCTGGACGAACTTGGGCAAACATGTGTAGTTCATCTGGTTATTCGTCTCTAGTAAAAAGACGGGCAGGAGAGGTATTATGCTTCTAGACGAACTCTCTCTCCTAGTGCGTCGTTCAAGACGAATTTCGTAGTATAATTCGTCTAGAAGCATAATACGTCTTGTGCCCACATTTTTTTTTTTTTCAGATACTGACGAGTGCTCTGCATCAAATGGCGGCTGCAGTCACAGGTGTGTTAATACTGCAGGGAGCTACAGATGTGAATGTCCAGGCCAAGAACTCAGATTAGCATCAGATAACAAAACATGCGAAGAGAAGCACACTACGAGCGGTATGTTTGCGGATTGTAGCTATAAATAAACTTACATCACCATGCAACAAAGAAGGGGCTAACGAGAACCAGCCCAATCCATGTATAGAGCAATCCTAATATATATCTTCTAAGAACAATTATTTTCCTTTGCTATTTCGTCAGCTACGCAAAAAAAATACCCAACAAGACTGTTATTGCAGGTCAATCTTAAACTATATTGCTAAATTTCGAAGTAAACTCGCAGGCTTAGAGCCAGTTAGGCCTGAGGAGCTCTGACACTCAAATGAGAATTCGTTTTGGCATTCCTCAATTCTATGTAAGCGCTCGAGCTTTAGTACTTACTTAAATGGTGAACTGCAACTCAGACATTGCAGCTCACTTTCCTCTCAAACCTGGGATCTTACAATTAATCGGTTAATTAATCGGTTTACGTCGCCTAGAAAGTACGGTGGTTGAAATAAGAACTCCAGCCGATTCTAGGCCATTTGAGACCTGTATTCAGAAAGGATGTGACATAAACGTTAAATATTCCAAATTGACGCTCCGCAGAAACCAAACTACAAAACAAATTTAATGAAAATACTTATAAAATAAATAGATTATCTTATACTCCCAACGGGGGAGCCTTAGCCGTTTTGGATCGACTCAAATTGCAATTAAGTTCGTCTCTTGTGAACGTCGACGTTTGGCCTGAGTGTTAGTATCCTATCCTTAGTTAAAACCGAGTTTAAATCTATTATCTAAATTTATTAGTTTCCACCTTGTTGGTTTTAACTGGTTAAATAGGTTAGTATATTTTTATAGCAGTTTTTGGCGTTTTTCTCTCTTTATCTTATCTAGGTATAGCTTAGTATATTTTATTAAAATTTTTTAACTTTTTGCTC